TGAGGATCCAGCACGTGCCAAATAGAAGGAGAACAAATTCTCGCTAATCAAACCCTGAGACCACATGTTGTAGAATGGTGGCACTACGTTGTCATTAGAAATTTGTTGGAAAGCCATACCCATTAAGCCATCGAAATTTGAGTAAACGAAGCTGGTACCAGGTTCTAACATAGCTTCAGCGAAAACTTGATTGCTAATGGTTAGTCCAGCTACACTGACGGTATCCTGTGACAAGAAACCAGACAAACTACCGGAACCGTATTGGATGGAGAAGTATTCACCATTGGCTACATAAGTGCTGGAAGCGCTGGAGTTATATCTGTTGTGGATCTGGCAGGCCACATTGCTGTAAGGGCAGGATGCTGATGGCACCCACAATTTGAGGAACCAATCGAAGAGTACTAAGAATTCTGTGGTGGTGTACCAATGGTGATCTTGCCGTAGTATTCCATGTTCAACTCGTTATCCAATTGCTCAGTGGCACGGAACCGGCAACATTGTATTTACCGCGCAAGTAAGCGTTTCGGTTTTTACGGATTGGGTGTCTTACGGTAGTTGGAGTTCTTGTAAATGGGCACGCGCACCATGTTGGCCGAGGCAAGCGGCGCAAATGGTGAAGAATACGAAGAACTTGAACATTTTGCCGTTAAGAAGAAAAGTTAAAAATAAATGTTAGAATATCAAACTGTTGAGAGTATGTAATAGAAATAATGCAACCGTTAGAGCCTCTTACCGTTAGCTTTTTGTTATGGCGTATACCACCCACTGATGATATACAACTGTGTCATAAATTTTGCAGCTCGCCTCTTATATAGTCCATACCTGTGTCATATCTTTTTCTGATAATCACCCGAAGCTAATTAGACAAGTGCTCTAAATTTTTTAGATTACCGGTGTCTACAAGTTTTATTCAAGTGTTTTAAATATTATAATACACATTGGAGCTTGTGCTCGAGCACTTTGTTTATTTAGAAGGAATAGGATACTCAGGGGGTCAGTAGCTTTTGGTCGTTTATATAATATTTATTTTGAAACCTCAATCGGCTCCCGAGAAGCCGAGTTAGATTAGGATTTAGAAAGACTAGTTTTGGACAATGGGATAATATATGATATTGCAAGTTTGAGATTGTGATATAACAGAATGTGTGCCAAAGGTTTGCAGTATGGGTAAGTGTTCCAGAAAGTACGCTATTATAATCTGTTAGCCTCCCGTGAAAAGCTTAACAATATATGTACCGACTCTTTTATGAAAATACTACAGATTCAGATTGTTTTAACACTCGCTTCGTGCATATTTTTCGAACTTCGTATTTTGAGAATGAACTTATGGCGTGGGCGAACCGATATATATTATATATTTAGTATAAAAAAAGCAAAACGCAATAATTTAAAAAAATGGCAAAATAATTCTCAATGTACCCTCCTTTTAACCTGATACATTTGACCCAGGAATGTTTGCAATGATTTATGGTAACTGAACTTCATAAAGTTAAGTTGAATTTCACACATATTGGTACAGATTACATTTTCTGTTACTGTAGATCAAGGTAAAAATATGTTAGTCTATTATCTCCGATAAAAAGTTTCCAGCGTTGCGTGGAGTAAAAACGTTGGCTAAAATTCGAATCTGTTTAACAGAAAAAATGTTCAGAACAATTGACCTGGGAGAAACCTATATCTCCAATCAGATCTAGTTTTCAATGCCTCTCTCGTAACACTACTTGTAATTTTGTGAGGCTTTCAAGTTTTTCGCAATAAAAACTTTAAAGGATCCTTCCATCAAACAAAAAGACACATGCAGAGATTTCTTCAGCCTGTAATTCGTACAAGTTGGAAATTCAACTGGTATTCGGCTGCATCCGAATTCAGCACTTCCTTATTTATTTAATATTATTATTATTAATTCTAATTGCATTATCAGTGAAACTCTATAAATCAGTAGTAGCTTCCAAACTGGTGAAATATAAATATATTTTGGCCTAGAAAGTTAATGGACGAACACAAGTACTTAAAGATTCACGTATAATGATAACGAAGTAGCTTATAAATTTATATAGTATATATGTATATACTTGATTGTAGCAAGTATAGATAGTCCCTTATACTTTCAAGAACTATATACCAAATTATTTAACTATATTTTATATTGAAAAAATAAAAGCATTCCATTTTAAAATACAAAATAAGTGCGAAGCTTATTGTCTTCCGATTTTTTCTCCTTTTTTTAATTGCATAACCGTTTCAAATGCTTTTCTTTAATTGATTGATCATTACAAATGATAAACTTCATAACTATTCCTGATACACTGACCTTTACAAACCTCTAAATGGATATATCATTCTACACTGCCAACTCATGCTGAGTTTGGGTTTACTGACCTGCGAATATTTACTACTTTTCTATTTTGGCTGTTCCAGCAACAAACATTTATAAACAACAACATTGAGTATTATCTCACAAACTACTTAAGATAACGAACATTAAAATAAATACACATAAATTCGCAAAGTGCTTAATCGAGACATAATTGCGCCATCCTATGTGTTTCTTCTTCTTTGAGTATTCTTAGCACACTATCACTTGTCTCCCCTTAAACAAATATGAGCTTCCTTCTCTCCATACGAATCAGTTAGTCATCATCTTATATTCTCATGTGTTAATAGTTATTGTGTAGCTCGTCTTATTATTCAATCATTATTCTTGTACGATTCTCATGCTTAATCCTCCTGACAATTACTGTTATGCTATATGACTACTGTTACTATATCTAAACATTTTCAACATATTAGCGTGTTCTAGCTGTATATAATTACTTATATCACCAATAGGACATTAAAGATTCACCTCTATAATGCATATTTAAATTAACAGAGATATACGTACATAGTTATATACCGTAAATACTATACACGGAGGTCTGGTGATTATGGCTAATGGACATATTATGAGATTAATTCGCGGTACGTCTAGCTTTAGTGCGATTACTATATTAGAACGCTTTAAAGAGTGGCAGATTCTACCTATTTACTGGACGCTTAGAGCTTGGCTCTTTGACCTTAATTCAGAGATGCCGTTGTTGCTTTAGTCATGGCTCTTATAAAGAGAGGTAACGTCGGCTTCGTTCCTGTTCCTATACGAAGCAAAAGATCGGCGAAGGCGCCTTTGCCTGCTGTATATTAATTTTAGAGGATCTTCATACTTCAACACTGTCTCCGCAGTCGAGTTTCCAACTTTCGTCATTATCGACCCGATTCCTCTTACGAACATTCACTTCAGACTGAAGACCGAATTCATCAAGGTGACCGATACCGCATAGCTTATGCCCCCTTGGCCGAGATGAACTCCTTGTTTAGGATATCAGCGCTTGCCATATTGCTGCTTTTTGTCCTCCCCAGCCTAATCTCGCCTTCCAGTCTTGTGGTAGAGAAGAAAGCAACTACCGCAAACACTCTCTCGATTTTTAACCGGTGGATCTTTCCGCTGGAAGCCAGACCATGGTGCACAGGTCGCATCAGAATTCCGATTTGGCCACCGCTTCGGAGTCTTGCTCCCATCCATCTTCCTCCACATTGGGCTACTGGCACGATGCAACCGCGCAGAGGCTAAGCTGCTCTACATCCCCAAAATATGTAGCTGTAAACAAAAAAAAACCCAATAGATATGATTGAAACAAAATTATTATATATTGTTTAATGAGGGTACACTAAAAAACAGTGTTATACCAGTGCTTTATTGAGAAAAATGTCAGAGTATATTAGAGATACGTATATTTAAAAGTCAGATAAGGTTTAGACTGTTTTGATCCATATTCAGCGTTAAAACTTCACTATGATTTAAGAAGACATATTCAATTAACTTCACTAACATATGTGGATGAATATGGATTGAACTTTATATCTGGTATATTTAGGAAGTCTGGACTGATTGAAGTTAACTTTTACATAACAGTATACTGAGAAACATGTTTTCACGAGATAATGTTTTTATGAGATAACTCACACATCAAATTCATATATTCAACATAAAGATCTGCTAGAATACCGAACATTATTTATAGTTATAGTACAATCATATATAGGAGCTTTTATAATTTAACCTCTAACGGAACTTTTTGACTGTGGAAAAGGCGATTCCGCCACCTCTAACAATTCCAACATTTTCAGTGTGTCAGAGAACAGGCGCTTTCAAGTTCTCACAGATACCAAATCATTATATGGCACATACTTGAAAGATTCGGCAGAACATCAGCTTAGGAATTCCAGAAATTTTAACCATTCCATAAAATCTTGAAAGATAGACAGCTTTCACTTGATTAACTTGTTATTTAAATATTAATGAAAGCGCCTTGATATAAAATATCATATCATGGTTGTTTCATAAAGGGCTGAGTTGAGAGTATGAAAACCAGTAGAATAAACAAGCATTCAAGTTTTTTTTTGAAATAGTTTTTCTTCAGATGCACAACCGTCCGCCAAAAAATATCCAACAGATACATATAAACGTCCGTATAAACCCGAACTTGCGTAATTGAAATCCCTTATTTTAATCAAACAAGTAGAGAGGACTAAAGTTTCGTTGCGTAACCGAAAACATATATATATCATGCTCTGCCAACTTGTAAATGTCAAATTCGGGGAATTCATTCAGTATAGTTATAACGAAAAGGGCTAAATTTAATATAATATGTTGATGCTGAACCAGACAATCTGAATTCATTATTTTGGGATATAAGGGTTTAGACCAACGTCTAGAGCAATTTCATTTACGTTTCCGCCGCTTA